AAATTTGTTAAAGCTCGGGTGGGATGTCTTACCACACCCCCCATATAGTCCAGACATAGCACCATCAGAATACCGTTTGTTTGGGTTTCTGCAAAATTTCTTGAATGAAAAATCGTTCAATTCGCTGGAGGACTGCAAAAAGCACCTGTGTGGGTTTTTCGATTTTAAGTCTGGAACGTTCTATGAAAGGGGGAACTGGAACCTACAGGAAGATGGCGAAGCCTTACTATACAGAATGGAGGATGTATTGTTCAATCAATGGATTTCTTCTTCTAGTTTTCATTCAAAGATGAATCAAAAATCGACGGGAACTATTCGGACAACCCAATAGATACCATATCCAGGTTTCAAGAGGCCGAACGTGGTACTTCTGCAGAACATTGCCTCCATGCGGGATTGGACAGCAGATCTCTTGTTCACGAGACAGATGTTCTGCCTTTGAGCTGTGAAGGATTGAATGGTGCACTCCTCCTTTGTCTACATAGTGAATTTCTCCGTGCCCGCGATATAAAGACTAGCAAAGCTGTTGGCTGTTCTGTCGACATGGTTCGTGCAAGCCTTCAGCTCTATGGAGAGGTGTCGCTTTTACGGAACAGTCCTTTTCCTTTCGAAGCTTCGAGTACTTTTTTGAATATTCTTATGTTCAAACTACCGCGAGCTCGTTCTTGAGCACATCATTCTGAGTTCGAATACTTCCTTCTGTCGGCTCTTTTTTCAGGGTCTCAACTATATACATAACTCATTTCTCTGCTATCATGGCCGTTTGACTTCATCAAGCTGCCTAGTGACAGATTCATTTCAAGTTAAATTGTGCGATTACGGACTGTCGGAGCTTGCTCGAGTAGCAGAGCAAAGTAAGAAGCGGCATTTTTGCATTTGTTCATTTTTACTTAATACACCCCAGTACAACTCGTTACAGTATTGTACATTGCAATACATCACAACATACATGCGTTGTTTTTGCTGTTGACTATACTTTCTCCCTTTGTATTTCCTCTGTCTTCCACATTCGGTCTGTTCAGTAACATGGGTATATGCTAATTGTCTTGTGCTGCCCCTGCTATGGTAGAACCGCCTTATTTGTCCGACGTTTCGAACACTTTGTCGTCATGAAAGACCCCAATGTACTATACTTCGCTGCTCAACAATGGGCCAAACAGTCACCATTTGTGGTCTCTAATTAACCCCCTCGCTATTCTCGTGATCGAATGGGACTTCAGTGCGGGTGGTAAAGCAGAGGGTTAGTTAATTCTTCAGATCTTCTGTGTCTCAGTCCCTGAAAGATGTTGCTACTGGCCTAGAGGAATTTGAGCGCTAAATCGCATAAGCAGCAGAATAGGAGCTACGAACTAGTTTCAGGTCTCTGACAACGACAACTTGTTAGATACGTCGACCAAAAAGCAGTTCACCTCAAAAGACCTGTGCGGTAAGGCAGTATGAAACATTGTCTCTATTTTGGTGTTGTAGGTAAAATATGGATGGCACCCGAACTGCTGAATTCACCTCAACATGGTCCATCAAAGAGCTCGGACATCTATTCCTTTGCGATAGTTGCCTCTGAAGTAATCAGAAGAACTCCTGCATGGGACCTTTATGGCGAAGAAAAAGATGTTGAAGGTGTCGGAGCTTCTACCTTGGACCACACTTTTTTGAAATGTTGTTGATAATATTTACAGATGTCATTGCTGCTATCAAAAGAGGGGGTCCCACACCACTGCGGCCGTCACTGATAAATGAAACAATTACTATTCCTGCAGAACTGGTTGGTTGTTACGTGGGTTGCCTTTAATATTTCGGGTTAGAAAACAAAAACAAATGTTAATCATTGAAAATCGCTTTACTGCCTTTGAAAATATTTCCCATTAAGATTTATACACTTTTGCATGCATTCGAACTAATTGTCGAAGCACTTTTCCCGCTCTCATTGAGGTAACTCTTAAACATGCATTCTGAACGCATCAACGGCTCTTTCAAGTGTACGAAGAACGTTAACCTCTCATTTTATTTTTTACGTACGGGACGAGCAGAGGTCACCCGGATAATATATGACAGATGACTCATCGAATCGTTGTTTCGAGTGCTTAGAAATGCAGTTGTTTGAGACGATGTGTGGAAGCTCGCATTGTCGAGGTGAAGAGTGATCCGTCTTCGGCAGTTGGTACTAGTACTTGGTACTCCTAAATTTTTGGAAGACAACTGGCAAACGAATGGTTGTATAGAACTCAGAATTGACTGTTCTGCGTTGTTCTAGTGGTACGGCTGCGACATGTCCAGTTTCTCCAAAAAAAAAAGGCGACTAGTTGCTTGGAAGTGCTTCGTGCACGGGCAGCTTTTGTTGGATTTGGCTCTTCTTGAAATACCCATACGGTCGACTGCTCTTTGCTTTCGGGCTCACGAGCGTGAACCCGTGATCCATCGCCTGTCGAGATGTCACAGACGTGTTTCGAAGCACTGTGATCGTATTTTTGAGCATTTCTTTCGACAAATCGACACGAGCCTTTTTTCTGAGGGATTGACAAATTTTGTGGGATCAAATTTTTTTCACAGTCAAATGTTCATGCAATATTGAATGTATGCTGGTCCCTTTAATGCATAAGGTCATCCCAATCTCACGATAGGTCACATGACGATCTTGCAATATTAGTCTGCGGACAGCATCGGAACAACAACTGATTTCGGAGACCTCCACGAAGTTCGTCTTGGAGTGAACTAGGATCTCGGTTGAATTTACCATACCCTCGATAAGCACTAGTCCTTGATGGAGCTACATCGCCAAAGGGGGAGGGGGAGGTTAAGGGGGAAGGAGGTTCGGCCTAAGTGGGAGGTGGGGGCGATAAGGGCCTGAGTAAATTTTTAAGTTAGTGTAAACAACACAAGGAGCGCTCATACGTCAAAACCTTTTGAGTAAGTATAACCTCAAAAGATTCAAACTTTCCGATAGAACTGTCATTTGCCAGATTGCAACGCTAGGGTTGCTCAATCCCGAAATATAAAAGGAAACCCTCGCACCTAACTTTTTCAACACAGTGATTATCTTTAATATTATTTAAATATTAAATACTAACTTTTCCTGATTGAAAGTAGATAATTGTGTTGTGAAAATATTAAAGTTCACTGAATTTCTTGGCAAAGGCAGGAGGACTGGAATTTTAGTTGAATACGTTTTGAAGTTAGTAAATCTGTAGTCTGCATAGTCCTGTTCACGAAGATGTTCGAGCAGTAGGCGTGTGGTGAATACAATCTTTGAACTCCCAGTCAAAGTTGCCCAGTATTACTTGCGTTCCTATGAGAACTTCTGTTTAGGTAAGTCTGGTGCGGAACTGTTGGCGAGAAAACCCAATAAACCGGCCGACGACAGAATTCATTTGTGAGGAGCTTCAAATGTTGTTGTCAACAGCCAGTCACTCCAATCTTATGGACCATGTGTTTTCCATAATGGAGGAGTATACATGGACACTAGAACAGGAGGTAGGAGCTGCTGGAATTACCATCAGTGAACATTCTGAAACATAATCGTGGAAGCTTTTAGATTAGTGATCGCACGAAAGAGCTCACAGAGCAAAAGAAGAAGGCTGATCTCCTGCTGAGCAAGATGCTACCAAGGTGGGCATTCTTAAACGAAGCAAAAGCATGGCAGGAATCCTAGGCTTTTGTCGCAGTAGTGTGGTACGAAATGGTATCAAGTCCGAGAAAAACGAGTTGAGAAGTATTTCAGAGAAGTGGCAGAACGCTTGAAAAAGGGACAGTCTGTTGATCCAGAAGGCTTCGACAGCGTGACTGTATTCTTCTCTGATGTTGTAAAGTTCACAATTCTTGCAGCCAAGTGCACTCCATTTCAGGTATATTTAAGAGCTCCCCCTCAGAGCTTCCATACTTAAGTTCAATACCTATTCGACTTTTCAGGTTGTGGGTCTTCTGAATGAGTTGTATAGCAGTTTCGATACTTTGATTGAACAACATGGAGTATATAAGGTTTGTGGTTCTATACCAAAGACTAACGGCAAATGTTGTGGCTGGTAAATGTTTGGGTGTGGCTTGTTTGCTTCATTTCTTGAATCATTTCTCGAGCTGCCCATTATTAATGGCTAGCAATAGAAGGGTGCACAAGCTGTTGAATTAGGTATAATACGGGAAAAGGCGGGCAGCTCCGTCAAAGCGATATAAAGTGGTTTCCAAAAGATCTATCTAGGATGAACCTGTTTCTCCCATAAGGGATGCTGTCGGCTAAAAAGCATTCCTAGACAGGGCTCAGACATTGTATTCACTCTATGCTACACCCAAAGGAGACCGTATTCCAATAACCTTGAAAAGGCCCACTATTCATATCGGAGCGAGGAAGGGGGTTGTACCAGATGTTCGTCTGGGTGGGTGCGATCGCTGTTCCGGAATGGAACCTATATCGATATTTTGATTTTGAATTTTAGGTTGAATCAATCGGAGACGGCTATCTTTGCGTATCTGGTCTACCAGCTAGAAATGGGCATAGGCACATAAAGGAAATCGTGGAGATGTCTCTGAGTTTCATGGATTATGTCGATCAATTCAAGGTGGTTCCATTCCCAGATGAGAAGATTCAATTGAGGATTGGAGTAAATAGTGGTGAGTACTATCGATATTTGAAGGGTGCTGAGCAGTTTCTTCCATCATGCTGTGGGTGACGTCAGGATAAGTTCATTTTTGTTGGGCTCTCGTTGTGAAGTCCAGCCCACTATCAGCCGTTTAATTCAAAAAAAGCTCTGGCGGCACACGTATAAGCAACGTTTGAGAGAGAATTGTCATTTCTGTATCAGAGACGGAAAGCCCTCTGTTTCCACGCTAATCCTCGGCTTCAGCGAGAGCCACAAAAAGAGGTTGGAATAGTACAAATAAATGAACTAGGTACTTAAGCATCATTCTCGCTTGGCATTCAATATTTCAGAAATGTATTCCCCTCACTGCTTACTCAGAGAAGTCGTTTATCGAGGAAAAATTCCGTAGACGGTGTTCTAAAACTGCTCAAAAAGTATATCCTGCCCATGACGATGAAATATGAGAAGGTTCTGTCCATTATAGCGATTTGATGAAGGAGCACTATATAAATTGCACTGCAATTGGGTTGAGTAAAACTCTACCTGCCTCAAAAAAGGATTGAACGCAATGTACTTGTTGCATAAGTGAATAACTGTTGCGCTCAAATTCGTGGCTTATTCACTTCGTTCATGTTTAGGAATCTATTGAAACGTAGCTGAACACAGCAACGACTAGGCTCACAAACACTTTTTATTTATCTTGTCCGTCTTGTTTACCAGTGCTTTCAGACGTTTATGACATGATCGTCGTTTTCATACAAAATGGTTGTAGGTTCGTGTGTCGCTGGAGTAGTTGGTTTGAGTATGCCACGTTATTGTCTTTTCGGTGATACTGTAAATACGGCATCAAGGATGGAAAGCAACGGAAAACGTGCGTTCATTTTATATCACTTCAGTATTTAAGAAAGGTATCTGAGTTCGAGACTGGTGTGTCCTAAATGGAAGACGGTTCTGATCGTAAGTCGCCTTCAGGTGCGCCACATCATCTGCATTTTTTCAGAGCCGCAGACCATCTAGACAGCTACTTCATATGCTTACTAGCTTGTAGCACAACTTTCCCTACTCAACTTTTTTTTGTTCTTCTGACTATTCTATTCACCATGTTTTCATTCCTTCTTGGCTTGATCCTAATAGTTGGCTGTCATCTGTTCTCATACCAATTTTATCCAAAATTCATGAACACTTCAGGGCTTCAATTGCTGCCTTGGAAAAAATTAATGTTTGATTCGACAGCAGCTAAGTTTTCACGGGTCCCTTCGATCATGAGCATGTGTTTCCGTTTCCAAATGGCGCTGACTGCATTGCTATTGACTCACCTGCCATTTGTCACAACATTCATTGATATCTTTGAAAAAGCTCCAGATTTTCTATATTCGTCCGTGCAGCAAGTCAATGTAATGTAGTGAATCAGTCTTTACCCGATGGAAAAGGAACATAGCAATTTTTCGCTCAAATGTCTGGAAAGAAACTTGGCCATCGACTCGCTATGACGTCCTCTGAGGGACAGAGTGAAAGCCTAAAAGCCTCGGCTGCGGGTCTTCCCGAAATCACATCATGTGACCACTGCTCCCTTTCCTTTCCCCCAAAAAATTGAAAAATTGATTAAGTTTATGCTACAGAACGATATTTACTAAATGGTGAGAAATATTTCAGCTGGAAGAATTCATCTCAGTGGAAGTGCGTTCACAATGTTGCAACAACACTATCACGGAGAATATATTATAGAAAGCCGTGGTGAAATTATCATAAAGGTTCACAATACGGAAAATTGAGTCGCTTCTTTGATTGAAATCTAATTTCTCCACGTAATTATAGGGAAAAGGAGTGATGGAAACATACTGGGTGAATGGACGACGGTCAAAAGCTCATCAAAGGCAAAAAGTCGCCAGCGAAATCCGAAATGATAGCATTGAAGAAGACTTTTGAGAAATGATCTCACACTAATGAATACGTACGTAATAATCCACATCAAAAATGAATTTTATAAAGATTGGAACTTTGAACTGTTGCCGACAAATAATAAGAATTACACCCGGCCTTGATAAGCTATATCAAAATATGTATAACATCAAAAAGCCGAGGAAAGGTGAATGGTTTTGACAAAAGAATGGAAGAGCGCGTATTGTTTGGACCATGGACTTCAATTGATGTCAAGATGGATGAGGACAGCAGACACGGGCCTCTATAGCTCAGTGGCAGAGCGTCTGTCTCGTAAACAGAAGGTCTGCGGTTCAATCCCGCATGGAGGCAATGTTTTGCAGATCGCATGGGAATCCTGTCAAGAGTATCCCTGGGCGAGTTGCCTTAAAACTCTTTGAACATCAACCGCAAGAAAGACTTCCTCTGAATGAAGTCTTTTTCATTTACTGAGTTTCAGGCGAGAAATGATTGAAGACAGAAGAAAAAGACCCTATAACTCAGTGGGAAAACGTTTATCACATGAACTTCCTTTCTTCCGGGTAGCTGCTGCTATCGCTTAGACTTCAAAAATGGAGGGAATATTTGCTTTATTCCGGCTGTTTTGACTTATATTATGATTTGTTTCCAAACCCTGTTTGTGCTTCATCATTTGGTTACATTGCTGGTGCTGTGAATCTTATTTGTAATGAACCTCATTACTTAAATGCTTACTCATTTCGTTGCTTTTCTATCATTCTCTGTGGCTCTCTCACTATCTCGTATAAGTAATTAATCATTTTTGTCACTTGCCCTAGCCTAATCAATTGGCTGTTCGGTGGCTTATACTTTCAACGTACCGTCATCCACGCTACTCATCTACCCCAGTCGGACCCGAAAATTCCATTATATGGTCGTTTTGTATGCTACTTGTTTCCAATTGTGCCAGCCCCTAGCATCTCACAATCAGTCTAAATCCACTGGTTCGAGCTCATCTGTGAAAAAGAGACCAGCTTAGTAGTCGACAAGAGCGTGATAGCCTGACGAATCGAAAAACTCGAAAAGGCTTATTTTTCAGTTTATTGAGGAAGATTGTCCGATGAACGAGACATATGGTGTCCATCTTTTATTTTCTTTATTCATAAAACTTTACTTATACAGTAATGGATGGTCGAGGAGATTTATGCTGCATTGAGTTCCCTTACAGTCCGATGAAAGCTTCTCCAACTCCAAAAACACCAGCGAGTTCTTTCCGGTGGTTATCAATGGCGCCGGTACGTAGAGGTACTTCTGAAAAGGTCTTAAGAATATATGATTGCAGTTGACTTCTCGAAGTCTTCAGTCTGACCATAGAAGCCTTTTTGGGGACGAGTCTGTGCATCCTGATCAGTTAACAATCAATTCTGTTAAGCAGTCAGTACTCACCTGAGGACCAGCACTGGCCCAATAGCGACCAAGGTTGAAGCCGTTCAACCATGCCACACCTTTTCCCCAGTTGGACATATCGATGAATGTGTCACCCTTTCCGGTGGGTGTCAAATCACCACGGAAGACGTCACCAACGTTGAATACGCTCGAGACCTAAAAACCGAGAACCGGATAATCTGAGTAGAACAATAGCATACGTACTGTTCTCAGTTTCCTAAACATTATTCCTCAGAACAGCACCACTTTTTTCCTTGGAAATTTTTGGTGATAAGACTTTATTTTGGTTAATTTAGGATCATTCAATTTGATGAGTGGTAGAAATAAAAGAATAAATAAATAAACAGCTTAATATTCAAGTTCTTAGATAGTAAGGTAGTAATCAAATATTTGAATGACTACACTTTCGAGGGTGAATCGAAACACCACTGCAATTATGAATGGAATTCCAATGCGGGAATCAGAAACGTCAAAATACTCCACAAAATATCTCAAAATATCTCTTGCCTCACCTTACCCCGACTGATCTCCTACACCCGAATGTGTGGAACGCGGAAAAAGAAGAGATATTTCACAGGTCTGTAAGGGAATGAAGTTGGAGAGAATTAACCCTCGAAGGGGTTCATGAATTTTGGCAAGGTTCTTTGCTTCGGCTTTCGAAACTTGATTCCGATTCCTGATCATTACTCTCGGAAAAAATTGGCCTAGCTTCCACTGCTCAGTAATGTTACAGAATCAGTTATTCAGCTTTGAGTTAGGAGGCGGATTTTTTTCGCGTACGTTAGGTGAAACATAAGATCGACAAATTGAGTAACAGCAAGAATAGCTTCTGAGGCATTTTCAGCCTAGACGCATATCTAGCTAATCATAATGGGAATGTTGCCCACTACCTGAAGGTGCTCAGCTTCCATTGAATAAGCACGTATATTTTATTATTTGCTGGAATGTTTTTGAGAAAAACTCCTCGAACCGAAGACTGTGCTGTGACATCAACGAGTTGTTCCACATCGACTGCACATGAAGTCCACCCGGTAAGCTGTGCTCCGTCCAACTTCACCGGATTCACTATTCCCTAAATGGCGACTTCTATATGCACATTACTCATAGAAAGTTTTCTGACTAGTATCTGCAGCGTTAGCTATAGAATCCTCTACATCTCTCAAATACGACTGCTGACAATGTTTACTGCTGAAAAAGGATGCCAGACGATCCAAACATAAAATTTCAATAATCAAGTCACTGTTGTAGCGTGACATAGTGAACAGCGAGGGGCTCAGAAGTATAGCCAACGATATCAGAAGATTTTAGTCAAATTCCATGTCATTCTATACCATGAATACGAACCACCTATCTGCATCTACCTCCCAGGCCTAACCGATTTTGGAAAATTTTGAGAGGGTCGTGGAGGTAGTCATTGGGATTCTTATATGACTTAAGGGCTCGTCAACCGACTTCACTTATATGTATAAAAATAAATTTGCTTCTATCTAACCAGAAGAAGTCGATTTTTACGGTCCTTCACAATACGACTAACATGGCCGCTTCAGAAAGAGGTAGCATCTACTTCTTATAACGACTTGGGATGATTATTTAGACATGGGAACTACCAAAAAGTCTCAAGTGCGATATATCACATGAGGAGAGAATTTTTCGAGAATTATCGAGAAGACCTTGTAATCGTTGATCGTCTCCCACGTCAGTCGACCTTGATTTTCCACCACAATCTCCAACAAATCGTTTCTTTTCAGTGACAATTGCAGTTCTTTTACTTCATGTGGTTTGTAGTGAGGACTTACTCGACCCTGTAGAAAAATTTGAGTCAAAGAAGTCGGACACTCAGAAAAAAAGTTAGTATATGTAGTTGGACTAACTCTGAACTGTTTGTTTACAAACACATAGCCGAAATCTCTCACTCCACTACAGTCCAACACACTTCCGCCAACATTCAAGTGAACAGAGTATTTAACGAAACCCATCGGCTGGTCCAGCTAGAAATCATAGGGTTATTACAAGACGTCACCATAAGGTTGAAAAATGACGTGACACCTCTTCAAAAGTCTTCGCCAAAGGACCTTGCACACACAGGCTCGAATTGATCGTCTTCGACTCGAAATCAAACCAGTTTCCGATTTTTGTCAGTGAAACTCCTGATTGAGCGAAGGTTCTGCATGTTATATTCATTTGCTTACATAACTGCAAACATAGTAAACCAAACAAATGAAAGTTTTAATCAATTATTGGATTAATCCTTAGTTTTCTTTTGTTAACTTTTCTTTATTAACTCTCAGAGGAGATGGAACTACGTACAGTTTTGCATTTTTTTGGAACAGTTGTCCGATGGAGATTTCGGTCCCAGGGGACCAGTTATTATATAAGCTACTAACTGAATATTTACTTGATTCGTGACTTTAATCCCCTTCTTCTTGCGCAGCCCTCAACCTTCTTGAAAAAGGCTGGTGTCTGAGCCACTTCTCTAGGGATATATATCCTTAATTAAGTGATCGAAATAGCCTCTAGGGCGAGTCGGCATCAAGTTCTTGGTTATTGTGAAGAATCAGCACGTGATCTTTGGCCCAGGACAAAGAGATTACTCAATGAGCTGTTATGGTAGGCCATCCTTTGGATCCACCAGGTTCTGTGGTACAGCAGTCAATCTGCTGGAGCCACCTCCTGCGGAAGTATTATGTCCAGGTCAAATACCCACTGAACTTTCAATCATATTTACATACATATGTGATAGGAAGGAGTTACGCCTATAGGGTTCTACTTCCTGTCCCCTGCACCCTTTATATGGTTATCGTTATACACGCGACACCAAGATTTTCTTCACAAATGGTACCACTCACACAGGTTTCGGGGGTAGTTGCTTTGGCGGATTTGGCCATCCTGTGATGCCAGAAATGAAGTCGCGAATCGCNCATCGGTGCAAAGTAATCGTACGAAGTGATAAGCTGTAATTGTAGCCATCTACCAGACAACTCTCAATCTAGGCGTTCTTGGGCGTATTACTCACCCCTGCGGCGTATTCGGCCCCGTTCCAGAAACCGAAGTTTGTACCACCATGGAACATGTAGTAATTGAACGATGCATTCATGTTGTATAGTTTCTCAGTCAGTTCCAAAACTAAAAGAGATATATTGGATGGACAAACAATCTATTGATCACTATCGATTGGGTTTTTGAACGATCAGAACTGCTGAAGTTGACAAGAACAAGGATAACGATTTTCGACAAACCTACCGACTGATGCGCTGAAATCTCGTTCGATACCCTTTTCTCCCCAAGTACGATACCAGCCGGGATAAAATTCCGAGTTCACACGTGGACCACCTCCTGAAGCAACAAAAATTCTTTAATACTTTTTGAAAGTAGGGGAAAATGGAGTGATGAAGTAGTGTAATGGATAAGGGCACAGCGCACTAGAAGCACAGATTCAGAATCGAATTCAGCCGAGATCAAACGTATGTCCCATAACTCATCAGGAATTGTGGCGTTACTAAGCATCATTTAAAACGAAATAGTCGAGTCATACATACTGCTTGACGCTCATCGCATTGGGGATGCGCCATGCACTTGGTTGATACTTTAAACTGCAGAAGCTTAAGTGATGCTTTTCTTGCGGAACTACATGTAAACGTCTTTAAGCGAGCATTTTGCTTATCGTCGCACTTCATAGCCAGCCTGCTCTCACAAGTGAAAACAGAAACTCTTCAGAAAGTAACTAAAAAATTTACTCTTTTTATTGGCGTCGTCTTGAATTTTGAAATAGTCATCAGCTAGAATCAACCCTCGTTCACCAAAGTCCACTGTGGCGTAAACTCCGTCGATCACACCACATTCGATCGTCTCCGGTGGGTCGGCTGAAACGAACAGACTTATATGTCGCTCACAGAAAATGTATGTGAAAGACCAAACACATATACATATATGAGGGCACTGGGCTTATCATCACATCTACAGAAGGCGACGTTCACAGTATGCGCCAAAGGGGCCCACGGCAGCGGAGCAGTCGTCAGTCAGTCTTATGGTTTATGTTCAGCTACATATGTATGTATAATAAAATAGCCAGTGGATGTGGTGCCACGTGGTTGATCTCTTTGTAGTTTTAACTGACTTTAACGAAATATGAAAAGCGCAGAGAGCAGATGATTATTTGGATTCTTATTGTTCATGTCATGGGCAGAGCCATAGGTCTCAAGGATTTTGAGTAGGTTCAGGAGATCGAAGAAGGAAAGTCTCGACACTCAAGTGTGAAAAAAATAGAAAACAAACTCTAAGAGTGGTTCCCTTCTCATACCTTCATATTCCCAGCTGTACCTTTGTTTTTATTGTTTTTATATAGTTTGCTTATGGGACTCCGAACAGCTACATAATTAGGGTGAGTTTTGATGAATGCTGTATTTCTTCTTGTAGTGGACTATTAGACTGTTCCCTACGTCTTATAGATGATCAGTGTCTGACGTGAAGTCTCTGGCTTCTATCCCAGCAGTTTTGAGATGCATCTCGGGCTCTATTAAAAGCGGTGTGGCGTTTCAGGCTATACAATGGCTTGGATTGCCTCCACTACAACTAAGCTCCATAAAGCTTTTAGAAAAAACGCTCACTCGTGAAGAGTACGCTATCGTTTCCGAGTTTTTCAATAGCTTTGTCTCGCAGCGCACGGAGGTACACATGATCACATCCAAAACTGCCATATTCGTTTTCGATCTGAAGCAAATCGAGACGGACAGAAGTAGTGAACGAACTCAGTTATACGGACGCATTCACCTGGATCATGATTACGGGGCCATTATTTTGCCAAAGATATGGCCTTATCATTGGCAGCAGCACGTCCCACCATGCAAGAGATTCGCGAAGAAAACTGAACTCAAAAGCGGAAATCGTTACTTTTCTGGGTTCTAATGATACCAATAGCTTACTTTGGATCCGAACTTCGTTGAGTGATGTTAGGATATTTCAGTAACCAGTATGGTAAGCCACCATTCTCCCATTCACCACAGATGTACGGCCCTGGTCGGACGATCACCGCAAGTTCATTCTGAGCTGCCAGCTCAAAAAATCGTGAAAAGTTTCGCATTCCCGAGAAGTCATATCTGAACATGAGGTGTGTCTTCAATTAGCCAGCTGTTTGCTGCGTGATTGAGCAATGGTTAAATATCCTAAAATTCGTCTCTAGAGCAAAATCAAAAGCGGAATTCCGAACAGTTCAAAAGTACAGCTATTAGAAGCAATTGTCTTGAAAAAGGTGGCAAACCTCGGTTTGTCTTAGTTGAATCTATACTATGGCACCTTAGATTAAATTTCAATAATTATAAGCAGTTCTAGGAGAATAGATCTCTCCAGTGAATAAACTTAAGAAAATCAATATATGAAATCGATAGTTGTAAAATTTAACATAGGTGAGCTAAAATGTTGCAACTCATAGCTAAAAATGGAAAACAATAACATTCAACAATGTTTCACTGCTTAAATAATAAATTTAAAAATTTAGTCCGATGTAAAAGGATAAGCTAACAATAAAGAATGGTTCAATTTCTACTCACTTATTTTTGTAGGTTTCATGAAAATTCCATGGAATGTACGTCTCGATGGAGTTCAGCCCAGCTGCTCGAACCGTCTGTAAACGAGTTTCCCATTGATCAGGATGGGTCCGAAAGTAGTGGATTGATCCGGAGATATATCTGGAAAATACTACGTTACGGAATGATTCAAGAACCAATCTACGGCAATCAGGCAGGTTACTTGTTTTTGACAATTCCGGCTATTCCCTAGAAACTGTCATCTACGTTGACTATACCAGAAACTAATCACAAACGTTAGAGTTTGGGGAGGAACTCTGTAGCTGAAAGACCTAAAGTATGGTAATCAACTAACCGGTAAGGCTTCCCATCTCTTAAAAACTGGTTATTATCGTGGTCAATAGAGAAGCTTCGTTGAGTAGAAACATAAGTTAGACCGAAGGCTAACAGTGGCCATAGTGAATGAAGACAGCTAGTCATGACAAAGTGGCTTATCACCGACGAAACATGCGCTCATTATTGCACACACCCTTTGCTGAGAGAGAACACATTCTTCAGGTCAGGAGCTGAGCTTCTATAGAGAACTCCGGAACAACTATTCCAGAGCTACAACTCCAAGTCATACGTTTTTCATGCAAAAAAGGGCACTTATCAGAACTTGAAACTCCCAGAATCTAATAATTTTTTCTCTAATAAGGACAAGTTAGCCACTCATCCGCAGATAAAGGAGATTCTCGACAGGAAAGAACGCCGATCTCCCTTCAGGCCTGTCCAAATACCGAAACCATGCAGACAGCAGATGCCGATATTTGAACAGACCTGAAGGGAAATCGACGTTCTTTCTGTATTAAGTCGGTGTTTAACCTTATAAAACTTCGTCGTCCAAATCTAGGCGAAGTTCGAACCAGAGCTCATCCAAACTAGAATGCCGAGCGCTTCAGCATCAAGGAAGATTGTGAAAAA